CCATGTCCATATATAATTCATTATTTTCTATCTTACTATTGTTTGGAGTTAAACCCTTCAACGTAACGTGATATATATATATATATATATATATATATATGAGAATGACACTGTGACTCTGATTCCTCTTCCTATCAACTTTGTCTTTTTCTTTTTTGTTTTGTCCTCTCCCTCCTCCTAATGACTAGCTCAAATCAAATCACTGAAAGTGAAAGCCCCTTCTCATACATGCATGCATACATATTTAAAGCTGATCAAACATCATGTGCACTTTCAGAGAAACTATATATTACTGTGTCTGCTTCTTCACTTTCACTATATATATATATATATGTATATAAATATATATGCCTGTCTACTCCGTGTTCAACCTGCAATATATTATACTATTTAATGGCATGATTAGCGGAGGGATCAATATTGGAAAGATCCCAATATTTCCTCCAAATGTAATCATATCATATCTCTGTCATGTTAATGTGTTGGTTCAATTCAGGCTTTGCCTTGATACGATGTTATAAATTAAATCAAGGACAACAATTAATTTGTTATTAAAATGGCAATGCCACGTGAATATCGATAATCACTTTCTGCGTTATATAAGTAGCAGTTCTCTATTGCGTTTTTTGGTTGGTTTCACAAGTTCTGTTATCATTTAACCAGTTCACATGATTTTAGCAAAACTCTGATCTATTATTTACTCTTTACTTTTTGAGAAGGCCATGAAGAAAAATTGACACCAAAACAAGAAAGAAAGAAAAATCGGAGAATGATTCATGTTAAATCTGTATTAATTTAGCGTTAAAATTTTGTGGCCCGTGCATATACATGAAGATAATTGATGGGTGGAGCCCACATGGGAGAAGATAGATGTGAGTAATAATAACAATGGAGGAAACCAAAAGGGGAAGATGATGGAGGCTCTTAAAAGTGACAAAACTAGAGGGACCCAATTGAATTATAGAAAGAGAAGTAGAATAATCCACAAGCATGCATATGCAATGTCAAGTGGGAAATGAAACCTACCTATAGCAATTTGATGAAGTGTATTTAATAATAAGATGTGAGTGTTTGAGGTTGATATGCATAGCATATATTGGTGGAATAATAACAGATAGTGACTCCACACCCCCTTCCTTGTTTTGTCATCACCCAAACTGTGTCCATATCTCTTCCTCCATGTGCACCACTATATTTCTTTGTTCATGGTTTTTCAGATATCATGCCCCACCTAACTAATACCTAATCACACCCCATTCATTTACTAGATATATATCCTCTTGGAGTTCTCATATCTTTTTCATAACAAAATTGCATAACTAATCTTCCTTAAAATTAAAGTGTCAGTTGCACACATTTTAATCTTCCTTTTGGAGTTCTCATATCTTCAGAATTTTATGCAAATTACACAAAACTCCTTTTTTATCATCCAGGGTGAGTCTTGTGTATCTAACTAAGCGTTAAAAAGTATGCATAGTTTTTGACAAAATATGCATGGCTAATAAAAAAGTTGGCATATACTCCATCCACTAGTCTTATATATAAGTTACATTTTTAAAAAAATTCATGATTATTTTTACAAGTTACTCGGCATAAAAAGGTGGATTAATATTTACTTTCTCCCAATTTTACTCTTTTACAAGGTTGATGAGCAGAGTAAAATGTTACATATAATTTTTTTTTAAAAAAAGATGTATTTAATTAATAAAGGTAAACTAAAAAATTTTCTTTCAGCATAAATTATTTAATTATTTTTTAAGTTTTGGTAAAATAATTAAAAGTAACTTATAATTGGGGAATATAAAATTCTATGAATTAATTAGGTTCTTGGGAAAAATACAAAGAGGGAAGGGTGGGGGGGGGGATGAGAATAAAGACAAAGTAGCTTAGAAAACAGGAACAAGGGAAAAAGGAAAAAGGGTAGCAAGTTAGTCGGTGTGGTGCGGGTGGGTTGGAATTTGAATAAGGGCAAGCAAAGGGGCACCACAGAAGTGAGATGGAGGCAATTGGTTTGATTGACAGTGCCAACTGAGAAAAACACTGATACGCATGTGATTCAGGAAAGTGTGTGCCAATTTAAGGCATCTCATCACAACACACACACACACACCAACAAACAGAGGTGTGTCTCTTAGTTGCAGATCTTTCTGATTTTCATGCCCTGACTCTGACGTTTATGATGAGCACCATCGCCTACTAGATTTGCTTTCAAGCCAAATGCATCCATTTCTACCCCTAACAGTAATTGTCATCATCATCACTCAAAACTAGTTGTGGAGTGGGTTCCCTTTACTTTTCATCCTATTCCATTCTTGCCAGTCCTTCAACCACCTCCACAGCTACCAAAATACATTTCAACCGTTGCTTCTCCATCACTATAACTCCTACATAATCTTTATTAACATCACTCAGACTTTGATATTAGCTGATATTCTTTGTACGGTTTTCCGTGACCTATGTAATCCCCTTAAAAAAAAAAAAATCTTTATTAAAATCAGTCTCTATGGGAGTAGAGTGAACCAGAAGCTCCATTAAGTCTTTTCACTCTTTACTTCTAATCACCATTATCAATTGTCAATTATAAAATATATAAACTTAAACCTTATTTTGTCACATCTCGACATAAAGTTCGACATCGATTATTGACAGTTTGACACTTGAACATCAATTTTTCATCACGTCAATCAAGGGATGCAAGGCCACTATGTGTTAGTTTGTGATCGTCAAAATTTTTGTACCTTATGATCAATCTCAAGCGACAAAGTATGGTCTCCCAAGTAGATATTGCTGTCTGGGCATTGTTTGATTTTGATATTTGATATGAGGTCCACTTTGAGAGAAAGCAGGCAAATTTGGTGATGCTGGAGAATCCTTTAAGATATAATATATATTATATAAATAAGACACATCAGAACGCTGTTTAAACTGCTCAGAGATTCTTATAATTTTAAACAGCAAAATCAAAATTATTTTGGCGAAAAAATTGACTCTTCAATTAATTTAGATGACTGAAGTTATTAAAAAATAAAGAAAATTGAAACTGTTTTGAGTTGATTTAACAATAAATTTTCATGGATAAACAAAAATCCAAACCCAACAAGAATTCAGATTGGGCAAAACCCTTGCCTCGGTTGTTGGCTAAGGCTCTTACTTTTTAGTTCACAAATTCTTTTGGTTGTCCCACTGAACCGAAAGGTATCATTATCGGTGCATCCACTATTATGCGACAGTGAGAGAAAGATAAACAGCAAACACTCATTTCATTTGTATTGGTGATCAGTTGCTGCAGATCTTGGAATAAATGTACCAAAATTTCAAGCAAGAGATAAATGTAATTCCTATACTCTGAAAAGAATCATCATAACAGGATGCAGAGTGGAAGAATTCAACTACCCCACAAATCCACCAAAACCTAATAATAGATATAATAGCCAACTATCAATGTTGTAACAAATCATATTCCTCGGGCAACCTCAAAAAGAAAAGTAATGGTTTGAACTAGTCAGAAATCAAAGTCTCCTTTTGTAAAGCGTTATCATATGCCAAAGTGACTGACAAGCCTCAAACTCCTGCTTTATATGAAAATATGCCATACACTTACCGTTTATTCCCTTTGTGGTATTGGATTCCTTCAACAATATGCATGGCAAGTAATTTACATGAACTAGGGAAAAGTCGTATATCACAAGCAACTAGAATTTCAGTTAAAAAAAAAAAAAAAACCAAGAAGATTAAGGAACTGCTTTTGAAACCCCTGTTAGTTTCTTGACTATTAACCATTCAATGAATAGATTCCTGCTTCCAATGCCAGGCCTGTAATATTAAAGGGATGGACTTCCTAGTTCATGTCCTTTTGGCAGAGTTGAGCGCATGAGCTACCCTTATCCCACTAAGCTTATAAATAAGTAACGAGCTAAATTATTTGAACAGTGTAACATGACATCTTTTTTGAACAAGGAATAAATTATGCAATCTCCAGAAGCATAGTTCTTTAGAAGTATAACTCAAATGGTCTACATATGCCAATTAAGGCCTAGCCATAGATTCTTCCCCTCATCAAATCAGCTGGGTTATTGTAATGCCATAACATAACCTCCCTGTTTATTGCTCTTAATCGCCAAATGGGATTTTTTTTTTTTGTAAGATCCAAAATAACTATCATTAGTTTCTTTGTCAACGAACTATACGTGTAATCTATACAAGTGATGATTTGGAGAACATGCAATTTAACAAGCCATAAATAATATTCCTGCACCACATTATCTTTCAAAAGATCTCAACTGCATGGTTGCAAAAAAGCATTGAAGAACTCATGCTGCAGCATCAAAGGACAATTTAACCACCTTTATAACAACATTATACTGTTTTCTCTTCTCAACAGGAGAAAGACGCAGAGTATAGTTTTGAGAAATGTGAAAGGCCCTGAAATGGGCCGTGTCCACATCCAGTGCCAAAATAACTCCCCATACAGGCAAGTCCTATTAAGAAACTTACTAGAGCATCAAAGCATAGGGAGAATATCAGTGAACCACCGCTGAAATAATTCAATATCTTACAAGAATTTGGATAAAACTGTTTTTTAAAAAAAAAATCTTGAACATTGTCACTCCACGTCTTATAGAGGCCTCAACAGCAAATATTTCACAAAGCAAATAAAAGACTTCAGAAAAATGACGAACTATCTAGGAGCACCCGGAATGACTAGGCTGTGCAAATTGTCAACTCAATGCACCTGGACTATTGTAAGGGCCAGAAAATGATGTCAGTTTTTTGTGAATCACATTGTCTGATTTAAGGAAGTTTAAAAGATCCCCCTCCCCCACCCACAACTGCTCCAACCAATACTTCCAACGATTGTGAATCTGAAATTATCAGGCAAATGGGCTGTCGCAGTTTTTCTTATAGCAAATTATATTGATGATAAATAAATATGCCCGAGTACTGTATATAATTACAGGTTGAATATCCTGATCATTTTAAAGCTGATGAAAGATGCCGGATCACTGAAAATTACGGTTGATGAAATTCAACTTCTAAACAGCAGTATGCAAAGAATTCTTGGTGTAACAAATATCAATATTACCTCTACCACTAAGCGCTACAAATTTATCATTAAATTGCAACAAAGGACACTTATCAATCAAGTTGGAATCATGGTAGGCTTCCTTCAGAAAAACTGTACTTCTTACACCTTTATTAGTGAGATAAAAGATCCCCTGATGCTTTATCAAGCAAAGCAATAGCTTAGATGGTAAGAGATACTCTGAATGAAATGCGTCCAGCTGTGTAGATGTCATCCTCTTCTCCATGGTCAAACTCAGGAGCTCATGAAGAACTCCCACAACTCTTTTGCGAGCTTTAGGATCAGCAATATCAAATCTCCTTGCATTCAAATAGGGAGAAGGAAACTCCATTTTCTGCCACTTCTCAAATTGCTCAAGATAACCAACGTTTGGCCTAAAACCAGCTGGAAAATTCACTCTAAATGCATATGGACCAGGATAGTTTCCATCTTTTGATATCTTAACCTTCTTTTGATATCCAGCAGGCTTTGAAATTCCTTCTTCAGCTAACCTAGTCTCCCTAGCAGTGACAGCTAATGAAGAATCCCAATTTTCCAATACAAGACAAGCTCTCCCATTGACTTCTCTCACAGAAAAGAAATGAGGGTACTTGGGAATCAAGGAGGTCTTGAAATCAAGTGGTAAACCCAATTCTGGGCCAACAAATTCAATAGTTTCAAGTGGAACACAGCACTCAACAGATAACATTAACAACTTTCTCAGGCTGTTCACCAAAATTGGTTCCATTAAAGCCCTGGCCTCAGCTTCTCCACTGGCAATCTTTCTGGCCTTTTCAGTGAGACAAACAAAAGGAGGTTCTCTGTTACCGCCACCAGCATGGAAAATTGAGGGATATCTCTCTATAACAGCCATAAAATTCCATTTCTGCACAAACCCTACATGCTTTTCAAGGTCACGTAGAAGGATGGATTGGTGCTTTTGGGATTGGATAATGGACTTCAACTGTAGAATAAGGGATGGCTTCTTCTGTAATTCCATGACCCTGTCAAGTTCAGGTGCCCTGTGGTAGATTTTCTTTTTGGGTCTTCCTCCACCACCGGATTTCTGTCTGATAGCCATCCACATGAAAGCAGGCTTGTGAATAGGGGTTGGCCTAGGTTGGAGATGACGATGCATGAATCTGTTCTTCCTTTGCTTGTAGAGAAGTTGGAGATGGGTGAGTCCACAAGAAGCTAAAATGAACCCTTGTTGCAATTCTCTAAGGGAAAAACAATGTTGAACATACACATGTAATCAAATGCACTGGAATAGAACAAAATGATCAGAAACGACGTAAGCAGGGGAACATTTTACTAAAAGAAATCACTATTATGGATTTAGTGCCATTTCAGGAAAAATTCATTCTCTCTATCTGCAGTTGACTGCTTTTGTGCTAGGAGAAACCTTGAACTGCAGGATATAGATGGGGCTCAAACATGTAATGTTTATGGTGTTTGAACTCGATTCTGACATTATATTACAATCACAAGTCAAGCTTTTACATGCTAACCACTCAACATATGCATGTATCATTGTATATAGATCGGATGAAATAAGAGAACCAACGCTAAATCATAAAAACAGTCCTATGTATAAGAAATAATATTCTTCCACCAGCATCGACATATACTCAAGGCAATTTAACTTTAAATCAGCAGTAAGAGGAATCATATATTCCACACCTAAAAATTTAACAAATCAAAGAACCAACCCAATAATTGTTTCACAGTATCACACCATCATGAAAACATTCTAAAAGACAAATTCATCGGAGAAACAAATGGGAGATAGAGTTCACGGCCATAAACTTCATTTTAATTCATAAATTAACCTGGAAAATGAATTACAGAGCATTCATGTTTCCTCTTTGTTGATAAGTCAAGAAAATGGATTGTCAAATAAAGCAACCGAACTTAGCGATGTACAACACTTTTAAACCAGAAATGTATCGTTACAAAGAGATTATCTCTTACAAGTTTTCATTTATGAAAAGGAACAATCTTTTCACTGACACAGCACCATAAATTTAACACACAACGGAACTTCAAGGCCAATGAATCACAACCCTTAATTTGTTTTCATGAATAGTAATGAAGCTGTATCACACGAACCCATACCCATTGTCGACGCTGTGGAGATCTGATAACCCGAGCCGGAAAGGGAACGTCGGAGGGAAGACGAGGCCGACAGGAGAATGAGGTTCCGTACAACGCTTTGAGTGACGAGGTGAGAGACGGAGCACGCATGAGGTCGGAGAGGGGCAGTGAAGGAGAACGGAGAACAGCGAGCGCGAGAGGCAGTGAAGGAGCGCGGCTAGGTCCCCGATGCATCAAAGCTGTGGCAATCCAGACACATTTAATCGATATAATGGTCAATCAAAATTTAGAATTAAGCTCCTCCAAAGCCAAAATAAATCAAAACGAGTAAACAATCAGAGCAGAAACCCATAGGTCCTCTTCACTAATGAGGCATATTACTTTACACAGTACCAGAAACGAACCCAGAATCCTGCCGCAATCAAGAAATTTCATACCACAGAAACCAATTAAATGGTTGAAGCACACCTAACGGCCTCCGGTGCGTTGGCAGTCGGACTGGTGGGTTACTTAGACTCTACTCTCTTGTCGCCGAAATGGTCACGCCTGGGATGGGAGAAGAGGTCGCCGCGTGATGGACTGATGGACGAGTGGCTGAGAGAGTGAGAGGCTGAGAAAGAAGTCTTCTCCTGTGTTGCCGCGATGGTCGCGTTGTCGAAGGAGTGGGAGAGTCTCGTTGTGTGAGGCTTCGACGATTATCAACTGTACGTTTCATCACAACGGGCCAAAAAAAAAAAAAAAACAGAGAGAGGGGGGAAAAATTGTTAGTAAATCCCTTGTTCAAAATTGCAATCAGATAAATAGGTTTGGGATTTTAGAGATACCGATTTGCACCTTAAATTTATCCCCTTACATCCTCGTTCTTTAATTTTTCTAAACAGTATCAGTCTTGAGAAAGGATTTCCTAGCAATTTTTTTCAAAAAAAAAAAAGAAGTTATGAAGACTTAAAAGACTGAAGGTTTAGTTAATTGATAAATCTTTAATTGCTCAGAGCCTCCATTGCCTTTTTTTATCTTTTGGAACCTTCGGCCAGGTCCGCATTGGATGGATTTGGAGAGGATCCTGATTATATAAATAGATGTGCTGCACATCCTAATGGGTTAACATTTAAAAAAAAAAATAATAGTCCCGTAACAAAGTGATATCAGAGCTAGGGGTGTTCACAGGACGGGATGGGACCGAAACACCCCCATCCTGTGTCCTGTCCCGATAGAAAGATTCAGACTGAATTTTGGTCTCATGTCCCGTCCCGTCCCGTTAAGAGTCAGGATGGAATTAGGACAAGATCGAGACGTCCCGCCGTCCCAACAAATAGAATAATATCAAAAAAAGATCTGGATAACAACGTTCATTAAAATTTTAAATTATATAATTTATTAAGTTTAAAATCAAAATAATACAAGTACATAAAAAACAATAATTTAAAATCAATTATTGAATTATATTAATCACAACTATATATTATAATAAAAAATACAAGTGATCTTCATGCTATAAGATTAGCAACAACAGGCAAGTCAAACACAACATCAAATAATTATTCTTCTACTTTAGTGAAGATGTACTAAGCTAATTACTCTTCTAAAAATAAGCAAGAAATATATTATAAATAAAAGTTATTAAATAGATAGATATAAGAATAAATTATATTAATATAATTAATATATTATAAAAAAGATATCGTCATGTTTACTCCATGTCATTAAAATTATCAATATAAAAATACTTTAGTTTTAAATAAAAATTGTAAGTATTAAAATTATAATTAATATAATTAATATAAGTATAAATTATATTAATATAATTAATATATTTAAAATAAAAAATAATATATATATATAATATTCGGGACGGGACGGGACGTCCCGATGGTAATCCCGTGTCCCGTCCCGTCCCGATTATTTTCCGACCGAGATAAGACCCGTCCCGATATGATCGGGATTATACTGGGCCAATCGGGACGAGTCCAGATTGAACACCTCTAATCAGAGCCAAACTTGAGTTTGCTCATTTGGTAGCCTCTTTTAGTGGGCCACTTGTGATGGGGGCGTCACGGATTGACTAGGGAGTTGTCAAGTCTGACATGGGACTTGGAGAGGATATTAGCTATATAAGCGGGTGCACTACATGCCTTAATGGGTTAACCTTTTGGGAAGAGAGTAATAGTCCCGTGACACTTTGCTACCATTCTTCCATAATAATATGGGTTTGATGAGTGTCTGATTAGATTTAAACAGCTCGGGTTTAAATGCCAAGTTATCTTTAAAATTGTCCAATTTTTAAGCCTAAATTCTTATTTTTTTCACAAAAGAAGGGTTTAAACTAGCTGCCCAAATTCCTGGCTCTAGCTTGGTGTTTGACATCAAATTACCATGTTGCCATTTTATGATACAGGTGATCGTTTTACGGTTTTAATGAAAATTTCAATTGCTGGAAATTAAAAAAAAAAAAAATCCATCCTTGACTATATTAATGTATAGCAGCTTGTGAGTTAGGCTCCAATGGATGACATGGCTTGATATCCCAGTGATCAAATCAGTATCCTCGCAATTGTTCTCTTCAAAACTTTATTTTATTCCACGTTTCACTTTTCTCCTTTTATTTTGTTTTGCTTTCGCCTTCAGATCTTGATTTAATTTTGTTTAAATTTTATGTTTAAAGTAACAAAAGCCCCTCTCTTGCCCAATACAAAAAAACAAAAATTGCAACAGAAGCTACTCAGATTTTTCCTTCTCCATAATAATATAGAAGTATAGCTTTCTAAAACTAGCTCAGCTAGTAAGAATGGGATGGTGTAGGAGTAGAAATTAAGAATACAAATATTCTCAATGTATAAAAAACAAAAATTATATTTATTCCCAAAAAAAAAAATTAGTACAAACAGTTATTAAAACTAAGAATATTGTAATCTGCTCCACTGGATCTGATAACATTATAGTTCGTGACTAATAATAGAGTTAAGACAATTTAATAATAACACGTATTTTTTTTAATTATATATCATAGTCTTCTGAAGGAAACTAGAATCAAACCTATTATTGTGTACGCTATATAGATATTTCATTGACAAACCTTTTACTAAAACTATATGTAATTCTGGTAAAAAATTGTGTCTACAATTACAACAAAATGGCACAGGTATGGCAGCTATCATCAGCAACTGGTCATCAAAACCTATAATCATCATCATGTATTCCAACACAGCTCCTCAGACCAAAGCTAATAATGCACGACCTCACTGGAAAGTGGAAAATTAAAAAGTAAAGCCAAATGCAACTCAGAACAGCTTCCTGATAGAAAAAGATCATTCCAGTTCGTACAACATATTGGACAGAAAAATGAAAAAAAAAAAAAAAAGGCAACACATTATTGATTATTGCTAACAGCTTCTTTAGCCAAAATTAACATAAATAGTTCAATCTAACATCGATGAATTGAAAAATATCAACGCGATACTATCGCTACGTAGCATGTCTAGTAAAGGATAAAAATGCTACAGAACCAAACTCAAGATGCAGGACTTTCAGAATTGCATTAAAGAAGGAAGCCAATTAGATTCATAACGGGCACATCAAAAATTTAAAGTTTGTCCTCGTATTCTGAAAGTGGAGTCATCTGCTCCTTCAAGCCCTTCCTCTTGCGAATGTCTGCAACAAGCTGTGCAGCTTGTGTTCCAGGCTCAAGTGGATCCGATGACATCATATCCCAGTGATCAAATATCAACTGTGGGAAAGCCTGCCCTGATGTTGCGGCCCTCAATGTGCTTGAGAACCCAAATGACTCAATGACAGGGAGGTATGCCTTAATGTTGTAAAGTGGAGTACCAGGCCTCTGCATTTCCTCAAAGACATGCCCTCGTTTCTGGTTAAGAACACTGTAGATTCCACCAAGAGCCTGCTCAGGAGCTTGGATTTCCACCAGGTAAACAGGCTCAAGAAGCCTGGGCTTAGCAGTCAACTGTGAAGCATAAAAGACTCTCCTAGCAGTTGGAATGATCTGGCCACCTCCTCTGTGGATAGCATCAGCATGAAGAACAACATCACAGACTTCAAAACAAATGCCTCTCATGTTCTCTTCAGCCATTGCACCTTCTCTTGATGCCCACTGGAATCCAGCAACAACAGAGTCCTTGATTTCATTCAGGTACTGCACTCCCTTACACATATCTACTACCATGTTAGGTCCAGTGGTCTCAGGCCCAAAACACCATATTTTCTTGGCAAGATCCTTGTCCCAACCAAACTCTTCAGACAATATTTTAGAACGAACCTTGGGGTCATCTCTGGGTCCAATCTTGCCATCATCAATTGCCTCAGCAAGCCCTTCCTCCATGGGTCTTGCTTCCATGTACAGACGGTTGTGCTTGTTGGGTGACTTGCTCATCACAGTACGGCAAGATCTCTCTAGAACAGTTTCACGGAAGGATACAACAGGGTCAGACTTTATAATCTCAGCTCCACCCATGAAATCTTCTTGCAAATCCTTCAAACATATCTCAAGGTGAAGTTCCCCTGCACCAGCAACAATGTGCTCTCCAGACTCCGCAATAGTACACACAACCATAGGATCTGATTTAGCCAACCGTTTGAGACCTTCAACAAGCTTTGGAAGATCAGATGCAACCTTGCACTGAACAGCAACACGTACCACAGGTGAGACGGAAAACTTCATTGCTCGGATAGGATGGGCATCCACTTCCTTTTCATTTGTTAATGTAGCATTTTTGGTAATAAATTGATCCAGACCAACCATAGCAACTGTGTTACCACAAGGCACATCCTCAACAGTTTCCTGCCTCTTTCCCATCCAGATGACAGTTCTTTGCACATTCTTAACATACAAGTCTTTCTTCTCCCCAGGTACATAGTTTGGTCCCATGATTCTGACCTTCAAACCAGTGGAGACCTTACCAGAGAAGACACGGCCAAAAGCAAAAAATCTACCCTTATCAGATGCAGGAATCATTTTTGAGACATAAAGCATCAGGGGTCCATCAGGATCACAATTCCTGATTGCTGTGGCATACTGATCATCAAGAGGTCCCTCATACAAGTTTTCAACGCGATATTTTTGGGCTTTTGATGGGGAGGGAAGATGGAATATCATCATTTCCAAAAGTGCATTGCTTGCCGGGAGCCAAGTTTGCATGACACGTTTCATCAATGCTTTACCCATTAGGTCCTTTTCTTCAGATTTCATGATGACTCCAAGCTTTTGCAACACAGGCCATAACTTATCCTTTTGATCATTCATACAAGTGGAAATTATCTGCTTGATAGGCTCATAGCAGAACTGAACAAACCCGCGCTTGCAGGTGGCCGAACCTGTGTTCTTGCTGGTCCATTTCTTAGTTGCTGGATCAAAGAAGTTCTCACCCCACAGCCTTTCCATCATCTTTGACTCATCAACTCCAAATTTAGAGGCATACATTTTAGAGAAGTTGGTCAAAGTGAAAGCCCAACCATGCAAACCAGCAGAAAAAGCAACTGTTCCTTTTTCTGGGTAAACCTGACAATCACCAAGGAGGGGATCTTCATATGTAGCCATGATCACATTGGCATTCTCAATAACCCTTTGAAAGGTCTGGTAAGCCTCCTCTCCATCCACCTGGAGCTCAAGGAAGCACCTGTCCATTTTATTCACAGTCAAAACAGGCTTAATTCTTTCTCCAAGTGCCTGTCGAAGCACAGTTTCAGTTTGGACACAAAC